TTCGAAGAATTAAACTGGGCGTTAAACTCAAGAAAATTAGAAGGATCCACCTCATCCTCGGGATTTTCAGCAAGTACGAGCTAACCTTGACGAGTAATCAACATAGATTTAATGCCTTTCTTTTAATTTTCTCTGCAATTTTTATTGGTGCTTAAAAACATGTTATCCGTATTGTATATTTTTTTTATTCTTCTTCGAATGGACAGTGGACTTTATTCCAAGCACCATCTCTTTGTGTAGATCGTGATTTTCCTTGTTAAGTAGCATCTTTATCATTAAAGAGAAATATATTATGAATAAACAAAAGCAACTACGCGATACGAAGAGAAAAATATTATTGTCATGACGTTTGGATTAATGCCTCTTAACATATAATCAAAGCAGTAAAATAATTTGTGACTGAAGAAATTCGAGATATGTATTTTTCGATTTCTTATGTTTAGAGACTTTCGGCATGTTGAGAACGACTGTTTTTACACTATTGGATTGTAATTAAATAAACTCATAATAAATATTTAATCAACCCTACATATTCTGTCGTTATCAACACAGCAATGCTCACTTAATTCTCATTCACGCTAATTTCATTTCTACTATCACCTCCATCTACATTCTGTTCTCTCGCACTGATCTGTCTCAATTTATTGTTCACTGCTTCAATTTTCCTTCTGTATTTCTCACTCGATTCTCTTATCTTTCTTTTCACTCGTTCCAAGTCTTCAGGCTTAGAATTCAATCGCATTCTCAATCTTGCCTCTTCGATCTTCAAACTGTTTGCTTCTTTTTTGGATTGTTCAGTGAGTTTTTGTAGTTCCTTGCGTAGTTCGGTACTGGTCTTGGGTTTAATGAAAAAGTTGGATGGGCGGCGACGACCACGAATTTCTGTTGGTTGCAAAACGTGAGACAGATTTTTAACTAAAAAATACTACCAACTTAAAACTCGTTAAACCGTTTTAAACTTACGGGATGACTCTGGTGGCGTGTATGGAGGCGGTGGTACTTCAGGTACCAACTGCTCGAATTGATCTGTTAAAGTTTTTTAATAGAATATCATCAATCATTTAGATAACCTTTAACGCGCTAATTATATCCCTTTTTCAACAGGTTCAAACAAGGCTCATCCGCAAACGATATTCCGCCCAAGTGTTATATTCTCATCTGTCGCAAATGAACAACAATTACCTGTCTCGGTAAGCACATCGTCATTGTTTACTAGATTTCCTGGTGTTGTTCTTGAATTAGCACCTGTAGACTCATTACTAGCATTATCAGCACCGTCGTTACTTTCATTTATGTTACTGATGGTAGTATCATTATTGTCGTTACCACGGTGGGTACAGTTGTTTTGATTTGTAGGATTATCGCTGGAGGAGGATGAAATTGAAGAGCTTAAGCCTAAACTTAATGCTCTTGCGTGTCTTTTGAGTAAAACAGCAGCATTAACATGTGGTTGCCTGGGCGGCGGAAGAGGTGGTGATTGTTGCTGCTGACTTTCGTTATCATCATTCTCGTCGGCATCAGTATTACTTTTACTAATTTCATAAGCGACACGCTCCGAATTTGTGTAGATCATTGACGAGGGTCTGGTCTTGGTAAGAGATCTTCTTGGTGATGGCTGTGTGATATTAAGTGAATCCTTAAATGTGACATTCAACGAACTTGTGGTTGCTATTGGGATTGATCTAGAAGGAGCGCTTGATGAATATCGGTTTTCCGCAGTTTCAGGCTGCAACCTCTCATTAACGGTGTGAATGTCATTACCAGTTGAATGCGTTCCGACATTATCACTTGTAGTTGCGGTATCATCATTAGTGAAGTGAACACACTTCTTTTTGTCATTGATTTTTATCGGAAGGGAGGCGGGCGCATCGTTTGTACGTGACTTTTTTGGGGAGACCGCGTTGAACAAGGAGGTGATGATACCAGATCCTGATCCTGACGAGTGAGATGTGGATCGATCGGAAAGAAAAGGGTTGACATTTGCACTATCGTTACTGCTCTTAGTTTGGCGTGGTTGAGACAGTATTGATATTGGTGGTAAAGGCGATGTTGAAGTTGAGGCCTCTGTTTGTTGATCGTTTAAAGTAGATTTGTTTGAATGGAAGATTGAGATGGATGATGTTGACGATGATGTTTGTGCAGAATGCGAATTTGAATTTTGATCATGAATAATATTTACTGGTGCTGAATTTTGTTGTGAAGGTAAAGGAATCTGTTGTGAAGGTAAGGAAAATTGTTGATGCGAAGATAATGAAAACTTCTGTGGTGGAGGTAAGGAGAATTGTTGTGGAGAAGAACTTAATATTTGGGGCGATAACGGCGGTGAGAAGTATTGATGAGAAATTGGTGATGTTGATGTCTGTGGAGCCATGACAAAAGAATCAAACAATCTTCCTCTTAACATTGCATACTCCTCGTCTGTAATCAATGATTTTTCGCGAGCATTGTTTAACTCTGTCAAACGATCGGTAAATGAAAAGCTCATCCTTGTAATCTGCTCGGCTCACCAAGAAAAAACAATAGTCAAAGGAAAAGAAACAACCCAAAAAATTTTTAAAAGAATTCAATGATATCGACAACGTCGATTCTTTTTTATCATGAAAAGGATGTAGTATTCTTGCTTCTTACAAAGAAGTCGAAAAAACACAAGCCCCTTTTTTGGTTTCGTAAAAAAGAAAGAATAAATGGAAAGATGTGACCAAACAAGAACGTATTCAAGTTTTACGTATTAACGAATTTAATGCAAACAAGAATAAATAATTGACACTTCTGTTTGAAATTCAATATTTATTCGTAGAGCGTTATGTCGTGTAAACTGGTAAAAATTTTAATTAATAATGACCAAATGTTTGATAGGAAGGTGGATAGAAACAAATAAGGTTTTTTTTTTTTTTAATATTACAGATTTGTTTGATATTAAAGTCAGTTTAAAGACAATGTCAACGTTATTTTTCTATTCGCCCTTTTATATTACGTATTGCACATACAAACATGCAAAAAAAGACCATCGAAAAATATTTTTTATTGACCAACCGATTTTCAAATATACATGCACCTGCATCCTTATATATGCATAGGAAAATTATCTCTGCTCGAAGGTGCGTACGTACGTACTCACATATCTGAACATTATGTTTGGTGTGACATAATATATACATTTTGACGCACTATGTTTCTCACACACCGTTCCATGCCTGAAAGTTATACTCTCCATATTCTACCAATCTTGTTTCCAAGGTACTAAATTCCAAAGAGGCTAATTCTTGCAAAGAAATTATATATATTAAGAACGCGAATTCGAGGGATTTCAGGATTCAATTTACCAAAATAGAAATTCATCTTGCACGCATATAGAATCAATGACCACAACAACAGGATTTCGGTTTATGTAAATGTCACGTGCAGTATAATTATGGTGAGATCTTCGAAGATATGTTTCAAGAACATCCTTAAGAATTATTACTCGTGATCTAACAGACATAGTTAATATGACGATGTTCGCCCCTATTATTGTGTACGCGCAGATACAAAAATTAACTTAAATTATATAAATTACATAATGTGTGCGTACGTAGATATTTCCCCCTAACATCACATATAAAATACATCAAACTTTGTTTTAAAATTAATTAATTATAAACCTTTAATCACGAATATCATTTAACTAACAATAGAAATTATGTTCAAAAAAAATGTTAACAATTCACAGACTAAAGTAGTTCAACAGGAAACAATACATTTACACTATGTTCACGCGCACAATACGTTCGACTCCTTTTTCAATTACCCGTAATGGAAACTATTTAATTTATAAACTTTTTTTAACGAAATACACCCATTCACTTATTTTTTTTTTGAGGGTAAACATACTGTATATGGAATCATAATTTAAATATATTGTTGATTAATGGACAAGTTCATATATAATATAATTTAATTTATTCTACGTTACAAAATTTTTTCCAAAGATTCTCCTTTTAGAAAATTTCTTAATTATCATTATCATCATTATTATTATTATATTAAATGTACGATATCAATATATTTTAAGTTTGAATCAAAAATATATACAGTATGAGTCATATTTTTTTGGAATTTTTTTAACTTTGTATTTTATCTTAATATTAAATAAAAAAATCA